TGAGCGCGGGGGGCGACGGCGGGAGCGCCCGAGGCCGAGGGGAAACTCAGCCCGATTTCCCTCCGCCGTGCGCCCCGCTCCCTGGAGGGACCCCACGGAGCCGCAGAGATGGAGCCGGGCCCGACCGGCCGGGGCAGGGGAGGGGGCCCGGGGTTTCCGGCGGCGGCGTCCGGGCCCGGATTTCCCCGGCCGCTTCGGTGACGGGAAAGGAGGGAGCTGGAGGCTGGAGTCTGCGAAGGAGACAAACCCGCGTGGGGGGACAGAAACGCGCTCGCTCGGAGCAAGTCCTTGTCCTCGGGTCGCCCCGTACGGGTGGGTACGAATCTGCAGTGACGACCCCCCACACCTGCTCCCCACCGACCGCGCAGGGTCTGAGCGCGACGCTCTTGGGGCCAGAAGCGACTCCGCGACGCGCTGGCCCCGAGGTCTGAGTTTGGTCGTCGGTATGTCGCCCGCGACGGCTCCCGCTATGCCCGCGAGCGATCGGTCGTCTACACCCCACGGCGGGCCCACACAGCGCCGGGGCCCCGCTTGCGAGGTCCAAGGATGGACCCGACACGGTGGCTTCTTTTTTTCCCAGACGCTTTCGTTGGGAGTGGACGGCACAGAAAACGCACACTTGACCTAACAAGCTCCACGCTTCGTCTTCCCCCTAAAGCGCTTCTCCGACCGGAGAGAACCACTTTCCACCCCAGGCGGCTGGGGCGGGGGCCTTCCCTCACCCTACCCGCTTTTTTCCCTCTATTTTCTTTTATGGTGAGTTTCATTGTGCGTGGCGTTTGCAGTGACAGGGTTCAGCTGAATGCAGCTCTCTCTGTAGGAAACAATAATCCGGTTAATTGAGCCACTGGGGAGCGAAGACTTTTCGACCGGAAAGGCAGCGCTTCGCTGCAGGGAGGGCTCTCCGGCACCGGGCGCGCCGAGGCTAGTGAGCCCGGAGCGCGGGAGGGAAGCCGCGGCTGACGCTTTCCTCCCGCCTCCTCCAGGCTGGCGCCAGGCTCTCCCTGCCCCGCAGGCTCCCCGCGTTGGGGGGTGGTGGTGGTGGGGTAGGAATGGCCGCGTCAGGAGATGGAGCTGTGTTAGGAAGGGGAGAACTTGCGGTCTGTCCGTGCGGACAGGTAGTTTAAACAAGTCGGACGAAACAATAATGTGAACCTCAAACTTGGTGTTGTAGAAATCTTACTCTTCACCCGATTGCCCAAACTCTTCATGAAAATCCTCTACTTCTCAGGGCTGAGGTGGGGAGGAGTGCGTGTTGAGTTTGTGGTGTCAGCTGGGGTTTTTCTCTAGTCCCTCTCCAGTGTAGGCTGGAGCCTTTGGGTGCCCATTCTGTCTGGGCCTCAGGACAGGCTCAGCTCCGGAGGTCTTCGGCTTCCCAGACTCAGGTCTGGAGGCTACATCTCAGGGTACCAGAGGGAGGGTCCACCAACCCGGCCTGCTTGGAGCAAAGCACTGGTTTGGTTTCTCTATAGCCCCTGGATCCAGCCGGTACCCGTGTTCTCAACTGACCGCCTTATTTCAGATCTCCGTTTCTGCTTCTTTACATGTGAAGTTTGAGGAGACTTTGATCCCAGAAACTTGGGATGAGGTTGACCTTCCGCATGCCCTCCTCAGAGGAAAGGTGGCTGGGGGGCGGGGAGGAGGAGTTACCAGCTTCAACGGCCCCACGCCTGACTCTGTGTGTCTGTCTCAGCCAGGTTTCCTAACTCAGTTCTGGAAAAGGCCCCTCCGTGTTTGAGATACCGACGGTTCCTACACCTTTTTTCACCCTGGGGCTTTGGGGTGGGAGGTGGGGGGAACCTATTCAAACCATCCTTGGACAGCACCCTGATCAGATATCATCAGGGACAGGAGACGAAAATTGATATTCCAATTATCTTAAGCGAAACCTCTTCTCAGAATCCTACCTAGGGGCAAAGACATAAAGGGAGGCCAGAACCAAATTGTTTCACCAGCAGCGGTAACACCCTCCCGCATGTGAGGCCGAGATGCTTGCCCCTTGCTCGAGCCATAAAGCTGGGTGTCATTGTTGCCAAGGGTAAATAATAAACATGATATATAAAAATATGTTCATCATAGATGATGTTTACATTACCCCCTTCTCCCTCACCCCTCTACCTGTCTTTCCCCAGGGCAAGTTTTCGTTGCTTCTCTAAACAGGACCAAGGAGGGAGGAGCACGGGGTCTCAGGACACGAATCTCTTCCACGAATCTCTTCCTGGTCGGTTCAGGACAATCTGCCCATTTTCTAGGCATGGCTGGCCCAGCCTGACTGAAGGAGGCTCGGCCATCTGTGTGTA